GTTGGTGCCAGACGGGCCGGTCTGAGTATTTCACAATCTGCTCAGTTACTGGGATTTTCACGCACAACCATTTCTAGGGTTTACAAAGAATGTGTGTGAAAAGGGAAAAACATCCAGTATGCCAAAATGCCTTGTTGATGCTAGAGGTCAGAGGAGAATGGGCCGACTGATTCAAGCTGATAGAAGAGCAACTTTGACTGAAATAACCACTCGTTACAACCGAGGTATGCAGCAAAGCATTTGTGAAGCCACAACACGCACAACCTTGAGGCGGATGGGCTACAACAGCAGAAGACCCCACCGGGTACCACTCATCTTTACTACAAATAGGAAAAAGAGGCTACAATTTGCAAGAGCTCACCAAAATTGGACAGTTGAAGACTGGAAAAATGTTGCCTGGTCTGATGAGTCTCGATTTCTGTTGAGACATTCAGATGGTAGAGTCAGAATTTGGCGTAAACAGAATGAGAACATGGATCCATCATGCCTTGTTACCACTGTGCAGGCTGGTGGTGGTGGTGTAATGGTGTGGGGGATGTTTTCTTGGCACACTTTAGGCCCCTTAGTGCCAATTGGGCATCGTTTAAATGCCACGGTCTACCTGAGCATTGTTTCTGACCATGTCCATCCCTTTATGGCCACCACGTACCCATCCTCTGATGGCTACTTCCAGCAGGATAATGCACCATGTCACAAAGCTCGAATCATTTCAAATTGGTTTCTTGAACATGACAATGAGTTCACTGTACTAAAATGGCCCCCACAGTCACCAGATCTCAACCCAATAAAGCATCTTTGGGATGTGGTGGAACGGGAGCTTCATGCCCGGGGATGTGCATCCCACAAATCTCCATCAACTGCAAGATGCTATCCTATCAATATGGGCCAACATTTCTAAAGAATGCTTTCAGCACCTTGTTGAATCAATGCCACGTAGAATTAAGGCAGTTCTGAAGGCGAAAGGGGGTCAAACACAGTATTAGTATGGTGTTCCTAATAATCCTTTAGGTGAGTGTATATACAGGTCCTTCTCAAAAAATTAGCATATTGTGGTCATTGCACACCAACTGAAATATTTCAGGTCTTATTGTTTTAATACTGATGATTTTGGCATACAGCTCATGAAAACCCAAAATTCCTGTCTCAAAAAATTAGCATATTTCATCCGGCCAATAAAAGAAGTGTTTTTAATACAAAAAAAAAGTCAACCTTCAAATAATTATGTTCAGTTATGCACTCAATAGTCAATACTTGGTCGGGAATCCTTTTGCAGAAATGACTGCTTCAATGCGGCGTGGCATGGAGGGAATCAGCCTGTGGCACTGCTGAGGTGTTATGGAGGCCCAGGATGCTTCGATAGCGGCCTTAAGCTCATCCAGAGTGTTGGGTCTTGCGTCTCTCAACTTTCTCTTCACAATATCCCACAGATTCTCTATGGGGTTCAGATCAGGAGAGTTGGCAGGCCAATTGAGCACAGTAATACCATGGTCAGTAAACCATTTACCAGTGGTTTTGGCACTGTGAGCAGGTGCCAGGTCGTGCTGAAAAATGAAATCTTAATCTCCATAAAGCTTTTCAGCAGATGGAAGCATGAAGTGCTCCAAAATCTCCTGATAGCTAGCTGCATTGACCCTGCCCTTGATAAAACACAGTGCACCAACACCAGCAGCTGACATGACACCCCAGACCATCACTGACTGTGGGTACTTGACACTGGACTTCAGGTATTTTGGCATTTCCTTCTCCCCAGTCTTCCTCCAGACTCTGGCACCTTGATTTCCGAATGACATGCAAAACTGAGCAACAGTCCAGTGCTGCTTCTCTGTAGCCCATGTCAGGCGCTTCTGCCGCTGTTTCTGGTTCAAAAGTGGCTTGACCTGGGGAATGCGGCACCTGTAGCCCATTTCCTGCACACGCCTGTGCACGGTGGCTCCGGATGTTACTACTCCAGACTCAGTCCACTGCTTCCGCAGGTCCCCCAAGCTCTGGAATCGGTCCTTCTCCACAATCTTCCTCAGGGTCCGGTCACCTCTTCTCGTTGTGCAGCGTTTTTTGCCACACTTTTTCCTTCCCACAGACTTCCTACTGAGGTGCCTTGATACAGCACTCTGGGAACAGCCTATTTGTTCAGAAATTTCTTTCTGTCTTACCCTCTTGCTTGAGGGTGTCAATGATGGCCTTCTGGACAGCAGTCAGGTCGGCAGTCTTACCCATGATTGCGGTTTTGAGTAATGAAACAGGCTGGGAGTTTTTAAAAGCCTCAGGAATCTTTTGCAGGTGTTTAGAGTTAATTAGTTGATTCAGATGATTAGGTTAATAGCTTGTTTAGAGACCCTTTTCATGATATGCTCATTTTTTGAGACAGGAATTTTGGGTTTTCATGAGCTGTATGCCAAAATCATCAGTATTAAAACAATAAAAGACCTGAAATATTTCAGTTGGTGTGCAATGAATCTAAAATATATGAAAGTTGAATTTTTATCATTACATTATGGAAAAGAATGAACTTTATCACAATATGCTAATTTTTTGAGAAGGACCTGTATATATATATATTGTAATCAGGCAATTTTAGACCTGTTTTTGTGTCTATATTTTGTATGTACATCAGCCAATAAGGGATATTAAATTGTGCATGCTAACTCTACCTATTTTTACATTTATCATCATCATCAAACACTCTCTTAAAGGTCATGTTTAAAAAAATTGCGTTGGTAAATGTAATCTGTAGTGTATCTGAAAATGAATGTCCATTTTTTTATACTATACATTATTAACTTTGTGATGCCTGTGTTCACTAAGCATTAAGTTTCTTAATGTATTTAGACAAAATAATATAGAATTTCATTATGGACCATTTAGCGTTCATTTGCCATGGCACAGTATTTTACATGTTAGTCCAAGGTACTTTTAAGAATGTGTATCATGTACTGATACTTTTTGATTTCTTTTTTGTTAGTGATAGCTCAGCGTCACTGGTATTGAAAATTGCACACAGCCCATACAAAATGTCTTTCCAGAGAGAGGATAAGCACATATTAGAGAACCTTCGAACCTGCAGAACATTGTGATTATCCGACTCTGCAAGAGATCAAATTTACAATTATTTTGTCAAACCAAACACAAAATAATTTCTGAAATATTTTTGAAGCATTTTATGAAAATGTGTTTCTATTTTGCACTTGAATGCTCTTTCAAGCTAAAAGAAAACCCGACACACATTTCGTATAATCTGTAAGCTATAAATCCTGCTGTCACCATAGCGACATGAGCACAGCAATGACAACCTGTCAAATGCAACAGCTCCAGCAGTTTCCTCTTTCCAGGCAATCACCTGTAGAGAAAGGAGGAGAGGAGGGCCATCCCACCCAATAGAAGGTCTAATTAAACTTGCTGCAAGTTCACTCTAACTCCTCTAAACTTTGAGGTTTTGTACCTGCTGCATTCATTCGATCTATTATTATTCCATCTGAGTGATTGACAATGGCAGTAATTACAGAGCAGGTACAATGGCAGCGACACCGGCTGTGCGGGAGTGGGTGGATCTTGCGTGCCCTGTGGCTAGAAGAGAAGGCGGCTCATAGTCTGCTCACTGTTCATCAGCACGTACCACGACCTACCGCTGGCCTTCAGGACCTCCTGGGGTCATGGTGGTACCGACAAGAGAGATGCCATACTGACTTGCACATGAACTGGTGAGGCAGAGAGAGTCTGTAGGCAAGTGAGTGAGTAAATGAACCAAGGACTGAGTAAACGCAAGCGAAAGATTAGGATGGATGGATGGGAGGATGTTTAAACAGCTAAACACACCTCTCAAGCGCATTTGTTCAGAGCATGCTGCAGTCGAAGGCTTCCCATAGTCACACCTCATTCTCCACCTTCCTCGCACACTAGATTAGACACTCGCACACTGGAGTTTTCATCTTTCTCTTTCTCACTCCATCCCTCACATCCTGACCTGTTATCTGCCTTCTATCTATATCCCCATTAGCGAAGTTGTGAACAACCCAGTGTTTTTGAGCAAATCTTTTCAGTGTTTCAGTGAGTTCACTTTGATGGTCTGATTTTTCCTGGTAAAGTGTGTGACTGCTTTGATGACTTCAAAAAATTTCCTTTGAAGAAAATTTCCTTTGTGGACTGTGAAAGGAGTATTTTATTGTTTGAACAAGCTAAGTGAACGAATATGCCCCTACACTCAACAAGTTAGTGTTTTGAGTCTGAACGAGATGAGAATTTTATTCATGAACAAACAGAATGAACTGGATTAATTAATGACTAAACAAAAAGGGGCATGTTGTTCAATCAGTCTGCATGTCTTAGTAAAACAAGTCAGTGTTTTGAGTCTTTCCTTTTTAACTTTGTTTGGCTGATTAGCTTCAACAGTAAACCCCTACAGGTAGATGTCGTAAATACACCATTATTCTCGAAAAAAGCATGCTTCTCCTGACATTCTTAGGGCCTATTCACACAGAACACAAAATCGTGACGGCCGTTTTTTCTGAATACGGTCAAAATACTACACGCTGCAAAAATTAACAATATGAGCACAATGGTCAAACACATCTGTCTAGCTTATTTTTACATAGAAAAGCAATGAAAAAGCAGCACAGTGGAATGTGAAAATGTGCTCTGTGTGAACAACTGCTAACAGTTAAGTGAATGATTCAATGACTCACTCATAATAGTTAGACACTCATTTTTGCCACTTATTTGTCCAGTGCTGCAACCTACAGAAATGTTCGCTGGAATGAATCTGAATGAGCCTTTGTTTAAAAGAATCAAAAGATTCAAATCAGTGGAATGAATCAAAATTCCCAGTATTGTCCTGCCGCTGTTTTACATAAATTTATCATGTCATATTTGTAGGCGCCTACAAATCCATGTGGTATACATTATCCAACAGATAAAGATATTGGAAGAATTGTGAATGTGCAACTGATATTTCCTTTTTAAATATTCCAGATAGTATAAGTAACCCTCTCTCATCTTTTCATATTTAGCTTCTGCCTGGCTGCCACTTCCAGCGATGAGTCGAAGGGAGGCTCTGGTGGGGAACCCTGCGCCCAGCGCAGCACCTGAGGTATTGGGCAACAGCACAGAGGCAGCAGGGCCCGGTCCCAGAGAGACCAAAGATGAAATGTTCTCCAAAGTCAAAGACAAGTTCATGAATGAACTGCACAAAATCCCACGTGAGTAAACCGTTTTTTCTTCTTCTTCTTTTTTTCACAACACTCAAAGGTCTTCACTTGGTTATATTTCAGCTTCAGTGTGCTGTGTTCGTTTTACATAATTTTACATAAAAAAAAAAATCTGAATGGCATTGATTGAGCCACAGCATTGGTTGCATTGGCAAGTTCTGTCGGATCCATTTTTTATTATTTTCTTTCAAATTTCTAAACTTCCATTGTTTAGCCAGTGCTGAAAAATAATGAGCTTGAGAAACAGGCGGCCACCAAACATGTTCCTTCTCATTCTAATTGTAAATAAGCAAGTAAATGAGTTTTGTTATTTGCATGCCTTTGTTTGTCTAAGTGCCCTGTGCCTCGGTCCCCAACACACCACAGCTCTCACTGTGAATCATGGAGCTAAATTCAGGCATCGTACCTAACCATCAACCAATTCACTGTATGCTCCTTCATATTTTCAAGTTAAAATGCTGAAAAGTCTGCAGCTGTTTGTGTGTGGGTGTTTCTTTAGCTAGGTGCTTTTATGTCCCAGAGAACATACATACTGGATATCAAGGTCACATTATAACTGTCCTGGACTGGAATATGTTGCCATATGAGATCACCAATAGACTATAAACTATAAAACACACACCTGACTAAAGCACTTTCAAACAAGATTGTTATAGTTGACAAAATATATAACAAAGACAAAAACATTGTTCATTAACAATTGACAACCTGCCCACCACTGGATAGTGCTTAAGTAACTCATGTATGTAGCGGAGGTGATGGCAGAATTATTTAAAGCTACATAAAGTACTAGAGCTGGGTAAAAATGATCGATTTTAATCGATTCTCATTTTTACGAACCAACATTGATTCTTAAATCCCAAGACTCCATTAGTCTATCCTGTTTTTAATTAATGAAGGAACGGAACATTGTAGCGCGCCTCCCATCCAATAAATCACAATAATCTTTGTGCTTTATTACTTTTGATATGAAACAAAGTCTCAAATTTCAAATTGGATCCATTTTATTATGAAACCGTTTTGGCGCTGTTTAATGTGGCGAGACAGATGAACCGGTTATCTCCTCTGCTTTAATACCAGTTTCAGCAACAAATAAACATGAATGAACATCTGAAGGTATGTTAAGATACAGTACAACTTACCAAAATCCATATCATGTCACATGTGATCGCTCAATCAGTATTTCAACCGCGGAAAGACGTCAATAAAACAGCTTGTAAACAATGTCAAGTAATGTCAGATTTACCTCAAAAATAAACTTGTTAGTCAGCTTGAAAAATGAAATCTAGAGAGAAGCATTTTGATAAATATATGCACCACATAACATATTCATTATATTTTTTAATATTCTTCAACATTTAATCCATGTTTGAATAAATCCGTCAAGTTTTTTGACAGCCACCATTTATATTTAAAAAACAAATTGGAGTAAAAATATAATTATGTAGTTGTAAAATTAGTATTATAACTTTTATATTTTATAAAAAATCTTCCTTGAGTGTAATTTATGTGTTTGTATACAAATCAGTTAATTTTAACCTTCAATATAATAGTAATGTAGTACCATTGGTACAACTGACTCCCATGTATAGTTTATAGCATTAGGTGAGAGATTTTTTTTCCCTGGAGAAAATTTGCACATGTGCTGTATTCTAAAATAATCTATATTGAATCGAATGGAAATCTAATCGAATTGCATGCTTGTGAATCGAAATCTAATCCAATCATGAAATTTGTGTCAATACCCAGCCCTATAAATTATGCCATGTCTAACATTACACCATTGCGCAGACCTGAAATGTATTCGAGTCATCTCCTACCCCTACAGTACCTTACTATAGGTGTCTGGTCATTTTGCCAATCTCTATATCTCTCATACTCGATTTCACACATACAACTTCTCGCTCTCACTTTCACTCACACGCTCACACACGTACACTTTCACTTCCACCCTTGCTTTCGCACTTGGAGACACATTCACCACATTAATTATCACTTTGCCTTCCTGCAGACAACTGTAAAATAAAGGGTTGCCGCATTTGACTCAGACAGATATGCCCCTTCTGAGATCCAGCCAGAAAAAGACACTCCATTACAGTGTCTTAAATTACTGTTTTAGCCGCCTCCCTCCATCACACACATGTCTCCGTGCCAACCGGTGCCTGGGTTGATGAATGCCTGGGGAGAAGGGTGCTGTATTGACCGAGGCATCCAGGAACCCTGACGGACTTGCATTAGTGATGAATGGGCGAGTCCAGATGCAGAATACTTGAGCAGTTCTTCTCCAATATAATCCACTGCGTTGAATATGTGCAGGTGCCGCCTGTAAAAGTAAGATGCATGGACCTGTCACAATCCGCCATCTAGCGTGGCAAAAACAGGAACACAGATGCTGCGTAGTGATGAAAAAGATATACTTCAATCTAACCCTTCTGCCTTTCTGTCATAGCGCTATGTAGGCAAAATATGAAGACGACAACTGTTTAAGATCTATTTCCATGCCACAACTAAGATGCCACAACTTGGGCACTTTTGGCTCTTTTAAAAGTAAGCCTCCTTAAACACACTTTTCATTCACAAGTTTAGTGGTTCGTGGGTGGGTCTTGTACAGTCAGCAGATTGTTATGCAAAGAAACCTCTTCAGGGTGATACAAGAGCCACTGCGAAATTATCTCGCTTATTATGTGGCTACTTGTCATAGCAAATTGAACACAAAATATTAATTTGACATATTTTATTACCTCAAGATTACTCGCAGTACCTGCTTTAGACCGCTAGGTGTTGTGATTGAAGAATCAGAATTGAGTATTGCAGGGAGCCGTGTAAAATATAACTGAATGATGCATGGTGTTGCCCTAAGCTTGAAAGATTCACTAAGTTTGAGTGAAAGGACTACCAGTGGCAGGTAAACAAAGACGATGAATCTACTTTAAACGTCACAACTGCCAAAACAATGTGTCTACCCTACACGCGAGCGGTGCGACAAACTTCTCACCCTCTGATTCCCCAGTACAGTACATCACAGTGGGTGATGAAGAGAGACCACAGTGTGTTGTGAACCTCAAAACATTAGCTTCTGACAGTATGAAGCAGAACAACGTAAGACTTCACATCACGAACACAAAGAGGAGACCGTTGACGTTGAGAAGTTGTAGTACCTACTGTATTAATTATAATGTTTCAAATATATCCTAAAGAACTTTTGCAAGCAAGGTCATGTCTGAAACTATCTTTATGTGGGTGTGCATGTAGGTGGGAGCTTGATAGTTTGACAGCAGAAGGTCTGGACTCCATTGCAGCTTTCATTGGCCAAGAAGTGCCCAAAGTTGATGAAACACTCAATTACTCCCTGATACTTCAGACCGAGGGTAAATGTAAATGAACAGGCAATTTGTTTTTGTCCAATTTGTTCGAAGTCTCAGATGGCGACACATATTTAAAAAGGTTTATCCATAACCTGTGATTACTAACGTTCCCTCTTTGCTCACGGTCACACAACATCACATCCGTTCTACGGCACCCGTTACAAACGGTCCTGAGTGTAGAATCACTCCGACAGGTAGCTCTCAGTACGCCACACTCGTTTTGTCATGGCTCTCTTTGAAAACGTTCAGCCCTTGAGTCCTTTTGACAGGTTCAACAGTTTGAACCCGACCATCTTGGCTGGAAAATGTCTCTGCACTGCTGCGGTTACACAGCTTTGTTGACTCGAAGCAACAAAAGAAAATGACTGTAGCACAACAGCTCTGGTTATTCTCCCAACGCTCCGCTGCTCAAGCTCAAGGCGTCTGTTTTCGATGATAATTAACCTCACCGCACAGAGACAGTTTGAGACATTATTCAGCTCTGCCAAAATTACTATGAATAATGAACACACAGTCCAGCCTCTGAAACACTCTTGCACACTGGGTACACTGATGCCCAACACAATGCCCCTTCCATCCATCTCAGCAAATGTGTGAGATGTTCTATCAAACACCACAATCAATGTTCTTTTCTTACTTGTTAATATGCAAACTAAACTGGGAGCATGTGCTTTGAACATTAACTACAAATTAATGGGGTCAGAAAGTATAAATTCTTGCCATTATTATAAGCCATTTACATGTATTTGCATTTTATTTTGATCATAACCATGAAAAGCTTTGTCTGTCTTGTGATTTTTGTTTCAGACCTGCTGCCTAGGTTTCTACCATTTACATAGGCAGCTATTGTAAACCTATTGTAAATAAAAAAGTATCTTAAAAAAACTGAATTTAAAAACTTACATTTTTGTTGCCCTCCTAATAGTAATAATCTCAGCATGTTATTAGTCTTTAACTGTATTTATGTGTGTGTGTATGTGTGTATAAAACACCTTGTAATAATCTGTAACTGGCACCAAATACAGTATATAAACAAAGTTTTAATTAAATGAAACCATTTTCTAGTTACTTTTTAAAGATGTTTGTCTGTTAGTAAATTAAAAAGTCATTTTTAAAATCAACATTTCCCTCAATTCATTCCAATGTATTGTAAGATTGAGTGTATGTCAAGAATCTCAATACATTTACATAACATTTATTAATTTTGCAAATGCTTTTATCCAAACCTACTTACAGTTAATGTTTACCGTATACATGTTATTAGTATATATGAATTTTCTAGGAACTCATGAGCTCTACTGTCATGTTCTACTAGTTGAACTACAGAAATGCTAAGACATGACAAGTTTTGAGACTTCAATATATGTTTGTGAAGTGTGATGTTTAGCGGGATTGTGTCGTTTGCCAGTATGTAGAAAGCCTCAGTCATAGTCAGCAACAGGAGGCGAACTGGAGCAGGGTGCCAAACACATCATCAGCCAACAGCCTGACAGATGGACCAGTTAGTCCTCCCATTCTGCTGACCTTTGACCTAATCCTATCTCCCTTTCTTCCCCTCTCCCTGCTGCCCCCAAGACCGCCCAAGAGGACATCTGAAGGTTACCAGGCTTGTCAACCCTGCTCCTT